AAAAAGTACGAGGTTGAAGAGTTTTAAGGGCCCAAAATTCCAAAAGGTTTTGCCAAATACAGCTAAAATAATCTTTTCCTGGGGTAAAAAATCAATGGTATTTAGAAAAATTCAAAAGTTTTTTAAGCAGTAAATTTATAATTTGACCATATCAATGATAATTCATATCAACACAGACTACTGGGCTGGTGATACCCTATGGGAGGATTACCTTGACGGTCCTATGTGTAAATGCTTTATTGTTTCAATCCTGGGAGGATTACCTTGACGGTCCTATGTGTAAATGCTTTATTATTTCAATCCTGGGAGGATTACCTTGACGGTCCTATGTGTAAATGCTTTATTGTTTCAATCCTGGGAGGATTACCTTGACGGTCCTATGTGTAAATGCTTTATTGTTTCAATCCTGTAGGTTTTTTTTTGTTGTTGTCTGTTGTCTCCGATTGTATTGAAAATATTTGTAATAATTTGTATGTACATATTTTTTACAGATCTTTAAACTGTATTGTTTTTGGTTTGAAATAAACTCTAAAAATATGCACCCAGTTGGAATGTTTAAAATTAAGATGTGCAAATGCTATTTGTGGGTCTAGTTCGGATAAAATGAAACATGAACAAAACCGGAAAGAAGAAAATACTGTTTAAATGCTGGAGTTTTTACATGTTTGAAATTAATAGACTTTATTTCGATTCGGTGGACACGATAATTATTCTGATTGGCAATGATTATGTATGAACCACTACTCCTGTCAAGGATTTGGTCTTTGTTCAAATGAAACAGAATTTATCTAAGATATTTTTACTAAAGAAAAATGAATGATGTTCGCCAATTAATTTGAATTATGTTTCCGCTACACAGGTCATGTCCTTTCCTCAAGTAAAGATTAATCTCAAATCCACACGATTTCGACTTTTAACCCCAATGTTTATAATTGCCCTTTGCTATTAAAAGAACTGTATACTTTCTCCTTATTTAGCATTGTCACATCTATGTTGTTATTTTCGATTCCAATAAGTGAATTTTCGTTTCTAAGTAGCAATATTCCTGCATCATCTTCGTATTGTGTAAGCGTTAGTGTTAGTATCAACGAAAGACACTTCCGTGAGAGAACACAATCAAATTTGTCTAATAGCTAAATATCAGAAAACAAGAAAGATGTACAAACAAAACAACTACGAAAAAAAATAAACACAAACATTGTCGCTATACGTCTTTGAACAAACAAAATTGAATATGGTGGGTTCCGTCGATTCAGGAGTCCTACCATTTCCTCATTTAAGAGTAAATAGCAAGCAATTAAATTTAAAAAAAACAGATAAAACTAAATACAGGATTCATTTCAATTCTTGGTGGGTAAGGCTTATACGTAGATATATGAACAGTGGGAAATCAGTAGAATGCACGCAGACAGTCTAGTATCTGATCAAGTTGATTTGCAGATAAATGGTCATAACTGATACTGAAGTGAAAAGACTAGATTATACATTTTGTACCTTAGATTGATTTGGATATTCTTATTAAGTCTGTATAGATCATTATAGTTTATCAGGTATTCAAGTATACTTCCTTGGCTTTCAATTTCTTATGTATGATCGTTCCTGATGAGGATGAACTCAGATAAGCTCCTCTGACACTGCAAATTAATAAAGTGTTATTTTCAATTTCTAGCATTGGGTCGATACCGGTGCTTGGTGGACTACTAGTCCTTGGGGGTATATATATCATCTGCACCGACATGATTTATGACATATATTTTTCATAAGTTCTACATTAATAAGTTAAGTATTTATTAAGAAACTAAGGTTTGAACTCCCTAAGTCAAAGTTTATCTTACGTGTTGTTTTCATTTTTACTGCACTCGGTCGATACCTCTGCTGGTGGAATATTAGTCCCCGAGGGTATCATCAGCACAGTAGTCAGTACTTCGGTACTGACATGATTTATAACAAACCTTTCTTAAATTGTACGTTTATAAATTAAGATGGTTTTAGTTATTCTGTTAAGTTCCGGTTTGGTCATAATCATAATATATACTAGATGTATTTATACATCCACGCTTTTCAAATTTGTTGGTTTTGGACGTTCCTGATGAAGATAAATCCAGCAAAGTGCCTGGGAACACCAACATTATAATTTGTTCTTTTCATTTTATAGTACACATCTGGCTAAAAAATTGTTAAAGTTTAGTCATTCGTCACAACTCGGCCGATTCCGTACCTCCAGTTGGAGAGAAGCGGAGGCACTCGAGGTTAGCCGATTGAAAGATTAGTATGTGATTTAAGAATTATAACATGCCAGTAGCTTTAGAAAGCCTTACAATGTCTAAGAAAATACTGCATTATAGTTTATTTTCCTATATTTATTTATTACAGAAATTTTGCTCTAGATGAAAGACTCTGTTTGAGTGCTATTGTGCTTGTACAATTATAATCGTCGCAGTCCTCTGTCGGGATTTGAAGGAAAGTTTGTTTTCTTTTTGAAGTTCGGGATTATGTTAACTCCATTCGCGAAATCATTCTACATTTTTTCATGGGTGGCTTTGAGGGAATCGAAAGTAATGCTATCTAAGAGAAATTACATACTACTTTTTGTAAAGGAATAAAAATTGATGTGATGGTACATGTACTATGCAGTCTGAAAATGAGCATTACAAAAAGGTGGATAAACTTGTGATTTCATTTACAGTAATAACATAGTATAACTTCCTGTTATTCTTTAAGTTAGCTTATTTAGTGCCCTCAAATATTTATTTTATAAATATTGGTTTGTGTACATGTATTATTGAACACTTGGCATTCATGCTTTTATCAACACTACAGTCTTTATCTATAACATTGATCTTCTCGCATCAATTCCTATTTGTAACAATCAATATTTTTTCAAATGTATATAAATTTTTAAACTAGTTTATGTTTTACACATTTTTGTATAACATTATTAAAGAATTGTATGATTACTTATTCAATACATATAATTAAATTGCGATTCGAGTTTTTAATGATTTCAGTAAATTTGAATATGTTTACCTCAAACTTATAACGTCGGCCTTGATAAAATGTCAACACGAATGTGTACGTAAATGAACCTTGACCTTGATCGCTTTATATAAATTGACCGCAAATTTACAAGTTGTTAAAGACAAAGAAAACGGTTTCTGTTACTCTTGTATAAGAGAGGCGAAAGATACCAAAAGGGACATTCAAACTCATAAGTCGAAAACAAACTGACAATGCCATGGCTAAAAAAGAATAAGACCAACAGACAAACAAAAGTACACAAAACACATAGAAAACTAAAGACTATGCAAAACAGAAGGGTAAGCAGATCCTGCTCCACATGTGGCACCCGTCATGTTGCTCATATTAGTACAAACCCGATAATGAGTCTAATTCGGATAGATGCGTTCAACATAGTCACCAAATTTTGAAATATTTAGTGAGAGAACATCATCTATGTAGTGGAAAGTAAATTTAAAGGATACTGCTAACTTCTTTTCTTTCTTCCTAAGAAGTTCCTGCAAGTCAGAATATAACAAAAGATGACAAATGAAGGCAAAAATTCGCAGAGAGCTCGAAATACCATCAAAATAATTAGGCAAATATGTTAACGAAAATCAGTAGTAAAGAAACATTTCATTCATTCATGAGCAGCTAAGTTAACTCCCGGATTACTGGTCGCAATTAGGTTCGTGTTGTTAAATAATTAGATTTCTGCATGGATGGTGTTTTGCACACTGTTGTTTGTCTTTTTTTTTTGTCTATTTTTTATTCGACTTATGGATTTTTATTGTCCCCTAGTTGTTTTCACCTTCTTTAATTGAAATCGTTAACGATTTACATACAGTGTATAAGCACTTCAGAATACTATATAGCAGATTTTACCAAAAGAAAAGATATCGACAGTGTACATATACATCTCATTCAAGTCCTAAAACAACACGTTTCTCGAAATTATAAATCCAAATTTAGTTTCCACATTGAAAATATCTGCATAACTCAGTATACAAGGAGACTTTAACTCTTAATTTAATATTGTTACGATTTTGTCTGAGCGTAACATTTGTCCTTTATATGTTCTTTTTGTTTTATTTTTAAAACATATCTTTTAATTGATGTACTTCATTTAAAGCTCTGTTAAAGTCACACAAAATTAAAAAAACTATGTGCTTGTATAATATATATTTTATGTTGTTTGAGTGTCCTATGAAGAGTATCGCGACTCTTGCTTATCTAAACCATACAACGACAAGGAGATGATTTTTACTTGTCGATCCACTTTTCCTTGAAAAAAAACTTTTCATTTGTTTATGTTCTTTTTCATATTCGTCATCCCAGTTACTACTTTGCTTTTTAAGTTTTACCCAAGCCATCTACAAAATGGTGTACTCGAATTGTGATTGCATCTTTCAACAAATCATTTCACCACGAGTAACATGATTGGTGTGTCTAGTAGGGCAAACACTGTTAACCCATCTGTTGCTACTGTGTTCATCACCATTTTTTTTAGTGAGGTTTGTGTTGCTCTATCTTTGGTTTTCTCTGTGGTGTCACTCCATGTGGCGAGATTTGACGAGAACACACTGTTAACCCATCCGTTGCTACTGTGTTCATCACCGTTTTTTAGTGGGGTTCGTGTTGCTCTATCTTTGGTTTTCTGTGTGGTGTCACTCCGTGTGGCGAGATTTTACGGGAACACACTGTTAACCCATCCGTTGCTACTGTGTTCATCACCGTTTTTTAGTGAGGTTCGTGTTGCTCTATCTTTGGGTTTCTCTGTGGTATTTTGTGGGCTGATCTTTTTTATGTTCGTACTTTTTCATTGGAATTGTCGGTCTTTATTCGACTAATGGTTTTTGATTGTCCCCTTGATATCTTTTTATGGCAATTCAATTCAAAGTTTACTATAATTATTTGGAATTTGAACATATAACATGGATAGTTTGATGAAAGGCTCCAACTAGAGAGTTGAAAGTTTCTTTCGTCGATATTAACTTCCTGTATAGAACTAAGAGTTCGATTTTATTTCACAAATAAAACAACAATTATGTACAGATAATGAATGAAACATAATCACACTGATAGTCACAAAGCGAAACATTTTTACAATATGATACATACAACTAACTGAATGAGCTTGTTCATTTTGTTTGCGATCTCCTACAAAGAGTTAAATATACCCTTTGAAACATTAGAACATATTTTATGTTCTACAAATTCAAACATCATTCTAATTCAATTTATCAGTAGTTTTAAGTATCTAGATTCCAAACTCACTCCGATTTGCCAGGCACTATTGTCAGACTGTTAATCGCGTGTGGTGTCACTCCGTGTGGCGAGATTTTACGAGAACACACTTTAAACTGTCATACAGAGTCCTCTGTGTCACCTTCATGATTAACATTTAGTTGAACTTTTTCTGATTCAGTGTCGTAATATGCTTTTGTAACCTTGCCATCTAGTTTATTGTCATCAGGGTCTTTTTGAGGAGATTTGTTAATGACAACAGAGGGTTGATTGTCAACATGTGTATACTGAGTATAGCTTCCGTTCACTGGCCTCTCGCGGTCTCTTTTAAACAGAAAGGGCAACACTTGCTTAAACTCTTTCTTAAAATTGTCATTCATCCAAGCGTATAAAAATGGATTGTAAATTGTAGAGCTCATTGCTATCACGTGAGCACTAAAGAATAACAGAGTGTAGTAGTACCACTTTGAGAAAGATGGAATATATTCAGCTGTTAAAAGTACTATGTTCAATGGTAGCCAACAGCAAACAAATATAGTTACCATAGCGATTAACATTTTGTTTGTACGTCGTTTTCTCTTAATTTCCATTTCGTCTCGCTCTCTAGATTTCGATCCACTTCCAATTTTTGACCGGGAACGTTTTTTCAAAGCTAGAGACACCTTCGTGTAACAATAAGTAATTATACTGCAAGGCACAATGTACTGAAGGATAAGACTAGTGACAGTGAAAAACTGCCCTGCTTGAACACGTGGCCATTTCTCCCGGCACATAAATGATTCGTCCGCTTGCGGAGTTAGTTCCATATAAATACCAAGTGGGAGGGATATAGAAATAGATATGACCCAGATTGCAACGATCATCAGCAAACATACAAAAACCTTCATTCGTGGTTTAAAAGGATATACAATAACAAAATAACGGTCAACAGCAATGGCGGTAGATGTAAGCGTTGATACATACACACATATACCTAGTGACATTGGTACTATATGACAAAGTGCCTCTCCAAATACCCAGGACTGTAGGAAATATCCAAGCGGAGTAAACGGTACTGCTAGCAAACACATCAAAATATCTGATACAGCCAAATTTGTTATGAAAATATTAGTAATTGTTTGCATTGTCTTGTTCCGAACAACAACATACACCACAAGAGTGTTTCCACTAACACCTAACAAAAATATAACACAATACAGCAGTACAAATATACCCATCAGTACAGGTTTATGCATGACTTGGTCAGTGATGGTATGGTTGCCTTCCATTGTTTCGTTTGTCATGTTTGTAGCATTCTCCATCGTGACTAGCAGTTTGATTTAATCAGCAAGATATGAGATTGTGTTGAAAGGTTTTGATTGATGGGTTATCGTGTCGTCTTCGGAAACTATAATACCTGAAACGATAAATACGTTTAAATTTAATATGGATCTCATGCAAATTGACATTAACATACCGCGGTATCGTTTGTATAAGAGATTTTTCTACTTGTTATCACTACTAAATAAAAGAAGGTTTGTTTTGTAAAATGAAAAAAAATTGCATTTATTTGTGTCGTCATTTTGCAATCACTTAAAAAAATCATCAAATGAAATGGTTGTATAGCAAGATTAACCTCGCATCTAGCTTCCGTCAATGGCTTTGATTTTTGTACTGAAAAAGAAAACGAAGCTTTCAGAACTATTATCTAATTTGCTATTTTTTTTCATTACTGATACACAAACAGTGTTCAACTAAGTTTAAGCTACCTTAGCTATCCTTCTGTAGTAGCAAGCACATTTAACCCTGCTTTCCAAACTATGTGCCGGTTTTAATTTCACTTTCAAGTAAGGGGTCATCTTTGGTAGTGTTTTTTTTTTTTTTTTTTTTTTTTTTCGACATTTTTTGAGGATCGCCAAAGGGGGTGTACGTAAAACTGGTTTAACTCCTCCACATAGTGTGCCTCTTCCAAGTTGGGCTATCTGAGTCATAAGTTCTTTATTAATTGACTATGATTGTTCGTCTATTTTCTCGGAAAATCGTGTGTTAGTGGTCTGTGTGATTTGGTGTAATGCACAGTATTTTTGGTAATTCTTGTTAATATCTATTTTTATGTATTTTGTTGTACATTGTAAATATGAACTGAATGAATGATGAAGATATTTTGTTTCTAATCTTAAACGCTATGATGTATAGAGATAAAAGTCATAATAACTGAAAACAACTGTAGTGCATTGTCTTAAGATATTATCTCAAATTTATAAAGTTGAAATTATTACGTCATTCCTCGTTTTTAAAATGATATAATGGGAAAGCATATTTCATACTTCTGTTTTTTAAATTCATCACTTGCTGAAACAAGTCATCTGATATACACTTTCTCTCATCAGTATCAGATAACGGTAAAACAATAGTTCAAAATATGATAGCTAAAAAGAGTTTTCTTCACAAGTTACTCTTCTCAAAAAAACTATGTAACGATGAATCTTATAAAATTAATTTGTAAAAAGTTTTTTTAAATGTAAGAACTTCTACAAGATGTTCTGTTCCTATAGTAAAAGTGAAAAAAAAACCTAGAAAAGTATATGACAAAAGCCTCTTCTCAAAACGTAGTTACTTTGATAGTATGACCAGTTCCTTTAGACTATTAAAAGCTACTATTACAATTAAATTTTAATGCAGATAGTTTTTTACTGAAATTACATAATTATTAAAGGGCTGCATTTTGGCCAATAATAGCTACGTACAGGAATATCAACGTCCAAGCTCATAAACTCAGCAGGACTTCGGAAAAGTTCGGAGAGCCGACAACCTACCTTCGGAAGTTGATAAAACTATAAGAAGATGTGGTATGGTTGCCAAGCACTGGATTTTTTCAAATGATTGTTCTATGTAGAAAGGTTTTATATTTTATGAAATTGTTTGTCAAATGATCAAAAAGATATTTGATAACAATGTGTCTTAAGAATTGCAAGGAAATTAAGTTATAAGAAATAATGCCCATAAACTAAATGCAGTGTTCATACTAGACGAGCGTATTTATCAATCTGTATAATTTAAAAAAAAAAATGATTTGGCTGCAAAATTCTTCTGTTCACAGACTTTTATACAATGGCCAGTAAAACAACACCAAATTAGTAACGGAAACTTGTTTGATGGAAAAACCCAAAGAACTGTATCCGTTACTAGACCATTTATATTGAATAACTGATTAGCTTCAAGTGCCATTGCTTGTTTATTAGTTATTGTCCATAAACGATGACCCAGCGGAAATAAATGAGCAATAAATTTTCTTTTATTCGCCGCCATTTTAATAAGACACATAATCCAATAGCAGAAGCAACTGATCAGTTAGGTTAAATTGGTTTCATGGAGATCCTGATTACTTACAAATCAGTATATAACTTCAACCGACATGCATGCTGGGACTATTTTTATTTATTTTTGTCGTGATCTTCCCAATTTATGATGGTCAATGCTGTAGCACTTTCTTAGGAACGACTGCTAATATGTTTAGCAGAGTTTAGGGACCATATTGTGCCATTTTCAATTTTGCCATATGTAAAATTCTATTAACAAATGATCATAAGTATGGTATACTGTCAATCCTATGGACTTTTTTTCTCACTGACTGCGTTGATCATTTCTGTCATGCAAATGGACCGTAATTAAGTTGTTAATGTGTTCGAAAGATAGTTATCTTTAATGGCAACTGGACTGATAAATGATCTGGTAATGTCTGATAACATGTACTTACTAGAAACGAAAAGTTAATATGCTTGGTTAACAGACAATAAATGTTTTTCAAAAAGTAATCGCTTAGATTTCAAACAAAAAAATATGTGTTTAATAGAATAGTTTAGAATAATGGATATATAAAGGCGCCATGAGAGTAACAATTTGAATAAAAAATCGTCGAACAATGTTGAATAACGCAAAATGTTACACAAGATGAGTGTATATGTCCTTTTAAGTTAAGTATACAGACAGCTAATGACTTCCGATAAATTATACCTAATTAAGTGTCTGAACAAAAGTATATTCACCAAGGGGAGATAATCAAAATTAAAAGGCATCAAGAGACTATAAAAAAAAGTATGAGAAGTCTCCTTTATACAACCTTTCTCGTAATAAGACCATGTGGTTTAAACATAACTTTAATAAAGGACAGATACATCACTATAGTTGAAATTGAGTGAGATCTCTTCGTATATGTAAGAGAATGACAATCCCTTTCTTCATGATTAAGTACGAGCGTTAGCGAGTACTTATCATGATGAAAGGGATTATCATTCTCTTACAAACTTAGAATATTGTAAAGTGCTCAAGGCTCAAATGATCTCTTGATTGGTTTTATTCAAGAATTTGTTTCATTGTCCGTGAAATGTTTATGATTAATGGATGACTTCCCTTTTAGGCATTTCATTTATGTATTGGTCTTAGTGATGTAAGGACTTACTTTTAATTTGGGAAATTTTAATAAATTGTGTTTTAGACATTAGATGACACAACGTTACAATGAAATTGTAGAAATTGTATAAGTGATATAATTGTTTATTTTTTTTGTAATTTGAAAGTTCTAAGTATTCACATGATAACACAAACGGTATCAATTGTACTGCACAAGTAAACTTCAAACTTATTTTGATCATTTGTGTTTGTTTCAAAATTCAACTTTTAAATCAATAATCCTAATAAATGTGCTTCAGGCAGTTGTAACTCATTTATACAAATTCTTTGTTTTGAACTGTAAATAGGCCTAAACAAAAGGATAATCCCTTACTAAGAACATGATTTCCATTCATTCTTCACAATTAAGGAACACCAAATTCTACACTTTCATTGGTCGAGAGCACTTTGCTATATTCTAAACTTGTAAAAGTTGAAATTGAGTAAGATCTCTTCACTTGTAAAAGTTTAAATTATCTGAATCAGATGCTTAAATCTAAGGAACAAGAACGTTAAATAGGGTTTTACTAAGGTTGAGGTCACAAAAATATATTAACCCCGCCACACATTTATGTGTTTGTCAGTAAGCGTCGAATGTCTTATCTTAATGTTTTTCGTTATTTGGGGTATATGGTTTTGATGACAACTGTTTGATTATTTCTGTCAGGTGTATTCACATTGATGATTTAGTACGTTGTATGATGCATAGACACCATTCTATTGTTGAAAACTGTTTGTTACCTTCTAGATGTTAAGCTATTATTTTGTTTTTGTTGGATTGCTGTTTCTCTCTTTGTTTTGTATACTGTTGTTTGTCTATTGGTCTTTTTCTTTTTTGTCATGGTGTGGTCAGATTATTTTCGACTTATAAGTTTGAATGTCCCTTTGGTATCTTTCACCTCTCTTTTGATGTTTACCACTACATCTCCTTTTTTCCACGTTGTACTATGACTACTAAGAATTTCGTCGATGAATATGAATGCAGTATATTTTTTTTTGCCAAAGTAAATCTAGCCAGGACAAATTTAATTTTAAATATAATAATCATTGAGGAACATTACGAAAGAATTAAAGGTTAAATATCATTTTCCGGAAACTTCCTATTAAAACCCCCTTTTTGACAAAGTAAGCATAGACATATATGAAGGAGGGTTCAAAAGAAAGTTTTAGACACTTGCCATTCAAATTTTTGGATTTACTTTCACAAAGGACGTTTGCGGTCATTCCTGTCGTGCGAGATCCTCGAGGGAAGACTAGGTCAACATAACGTATAACGCGTCTAAAGGTTTGGAAATTCAGAGATGCATTAGTACCTTGAGGTCTGTAATTTTTCCTTGTACAACAACTTGTACGAACCAACAGAACGAATTACAACCAGAATAATATTCGTGCTTCCCTCCTCAACATCGTTGGCAGACCAAATAGAAAATGTAGTAACAAAAATACCGATCTAAAGCATAAATCAAAAAGGGGAAATCCATAAAAATAGACAAAACCAAATGCACGACTTCACAACCAATTGAACGACTGGAAACTCCTGTAATATTCCTGACTTGGTACAGCCATTTTCCGAGAAAAAAAATTAGTGGGATAAACCTTGTTTTATAGCTTGCTAAATCTTCCACTTGTATAATAGCTGTGTATAGTTCCGTTATATCGACAAAACTGAGTGAGCAACTCAAACAGACATAGTCAATAATTGAGAGCCAGCAGCTGAAAGTGTGTAATCATACATCATAGATATACAAAATAAGTAAATTAAACCAAAGTTTAAAACAATGATCCCCATCTTCCGAGGTCAAAGGACTTGAAAATATACTAACACTCTAAATGATACGATATGACCATTATTCCATCTCATTTCGAATTCCATAAAATTATAAGACATTACCCTTATATCTCCTCAAGAATTATGTTCTTAACAAAAAAATTACCCTTGTGCGTGTTCTTGTTAATCAGAATTTGTAA